GATAGCTTGAGGCTCTGTCTCAAAAAAAAAAAAAAAAAAGTCAGTTCTGGGCTCAGCACCTGTAGCTCAGTGGGTAGGGCACTGGCCACATACAAGAGGGTGGCGGGTTCAAGTCCAGCCTGGGCCAACAATGAAAACTGCAACAACAACAAAAATAGTTGAGCATTGTGCAGGCACCTGTAGTCCCAGCTACTTGGGGGGCTGAGGCAAGAGAACCACTTAAGCCCAAGAATTTGAGGTTGCTATGATATGTGATGCCACAGCACTCTACCCAGGACAACATAGTGAGACACTGTCTCAATTAAAAAAAAAAAGTTCTGAAATTATCAAACTATTGGTTTACTATTTTTCTCATTTCTACACATAGACTGTATATTTAATGGTTTTCCAAAATGAAACAAAACATTAAAATGTTTCTGTGAATACATTTTCTAAATACAGGTCAATTTAATAGTTGTGCTATATTGACAGAAATTTAAACTCTTCTAAGAATTTACACAAACTTTGTTTTTAATTACCTGTATGTCCTCTGGGCTAGAGCTTCTGCACATACTTGCCAAGCATCTGGGGAAATCTTTAACTGTTCAAAGTAGGCCAGGGCCTGAAGGATTGTAAAATAAAACAGAACAAAACAAAAAAACACATTTGGAGAAGTTAATCTCAATGTCCAAATATTTATTGGTAATATCAGGTGAGCCGTTTAGTTAATTAATACTAAACAAACTATTCTGGGAGTAACAAACTAGTAACAAATTAGTAAACAGAACAGCAGCTGAGATGCTGAATGCAGCTTCTGAATATATGCAACTTAAGGATCATTCCAGGAAAAAAAGGTTAAATGAAAGACAAACTCCATCAGATACTTAAACCTCTGTTTCCTCAGCAGAGACAACACAAAGTTCCCTAGAGACTTCACTGGGTTATTATGCAGAATCAAAGAGAGAACAAGTACTCTGTCAAGTGCCAAATTGAGGAACGTGCAATGATAAAACGGTACATGAACAACACCTAGTTGGTATCACATCTGCTACTGAAGAGGTGATTATAAAAGACAAAACATAATGCACATTATTTAATCTACTAATACATAGAAAAGGCAAGTATTTCAAGTCTTTAATTCTACCATGTAAGTACCCTCAAAAAAGATTAAGCCTGAAGCACAACTTCACGGTATGAATTTCTACTTTGGAAAGTATGAAATAATTAAAAAGATCAAAGCTTTGGGAAATGTTTTGCATCCCTGTTTTTGAATTCAGAGCCTTGTAACCAGAAGACATGTGGGAACGGAGGGCACGGGTACCGGGGAAGGGACACAGTGCCGGGCCCCATGGCCTCTGCAGACTGCTGGGCGCACAGGAGCCACCGCCCTCTCCAGTAGCAGGCTCTACACCAGAAGCAGGGTTCAACCCGGTGGCAGATAAACAGGAAAGAACCTCAGTAACTTGTGAGACCGTGCAGCCAAGAAAAGTGCAAATAAACTGTCAACACAGCCAGAGGATGTTAAAGTACCGACACAAAATTGGACATGAGGCACGAGGAACTTTCAGCATTAGCGGAACCTAATTTCAATTAGTCAATATTGTTTAAAACTGTGATGTGTCTCATTGGTGATGAAATCAATTTATCAAACCTGAACAATAATAAAAATGAAACAGAATGGAGAGTATCAGAGTAAACTGCAACCAGCAAAATTATTTTCTCTAACTTGCTCTAGCTGTATGTGTATATGTATGTAAGTAATCAGATACTGCATCAAGATGGAAAATTATTTTTTTCCTTTGGGTCAGAGACAAAGGCCACTGCACTTACACTGTGATGACAGTTTCCCCTGCCGTGTAGTCGTGTGCACAAGGCAGCGAGTTCCCACTGCAGGTTCAGTGGCTACTTCCCCTCACAGAAGACCGCACAAAGGAAGGTGACTAGACCAAGATCCCAAGTAGTATCTCAAGTATGAGACAGAAAGGAACATATTTGCACTTTGTCACTGGGTCCTGGCCTGGGGATCTTGAAATCCTTGGAATTTCCTGAATGGGAAGACTGTCTTTTTTATTTATAGTAAGTTCCTCAGGATCGTGGGGGATTTATGCTAAAGAGGAGACTTGGGGTAGGAGCCCTAGACAGTCTGGAGTTAAGGCTGGATACTAACTAGAAAGAACAGTTACAACAGAGGGTTGTTAACTTCCAACCACCAACCTCTGCTGTGTGTGTGGGGGGCTCAAGAATGAGTTCCGTAAAAACTCTCCAACAATGAGGTGTGAGACAGAGGCACTCCCCAGAGGGCGTGAGCTAGGCACCTCCTGCACACCCTGCCCTGGGTGTCTCTTCCACAGGGCGTTGTGTCCTTCATAATAAGTTGGTAAGCTGTTTCCCTATTCTGGGAGCTACTACACCAGATTGTGGAAACTGAAAAGGGACTGGTGAGAGCTGCCAGTTTTACAGTGAGCCCTCAGAAGTACTGAGGCTCTGGACTTCTGACCAATGTCCCAGTAGGGGCCATTTTGTGAAACTGAGCCCTTAACTTGTGGGATCCAGTGACAAAGCGTAAATATACTTCTTATACCATATACTGGAATGTGATTCTAACTCCTGGTAGTGCTAGAATTGAACTGTAAGGCACCCAGGCCATAGAAGAGCATTGGTTAGGCTGGTGTGGTGGCTCATGCCTATAATCCCAGCACTCTGGGAAGCTGAGGCAGATGGATTGCCTAAGCTCACAAGTTGGAGACCGCCTGAGCTAGAGTGAGACCCCGTCTCAAAAAATAGCTGGGTGTTACTGTGGTAGGCATCTGTAGTCTCAGCTATTTGGGAGGCTGAGGCAAGAGAACTGTTTGAGCCCGAAAGTCTGAGGTTGCTGTGACCTATGATGCCACAGCACTCTACCCAAGGTGACAAATTGAGACTGTACCACAAAAAAAAAAAAAAGAGAATTGGTTATTGATATTGGAAAACAGACCAGAATAAATAACGGCTATATTTAGAAATTAAGAAAATTATAGCCCAGGAAGCTCAAAGAGATACTGACGAGTTGTTTTTGAACAGTACGGGAAGCCTGAGGTTTCCCTTAGGGACCCTTCAGGAGCCGGGTGGGGACAAGGGAGAAGGTGATCATTCATGTTCCATTACCACCCTAACCCTGCTATCTCACTTACAGGGGGGCTTTCAGCTGCTAAAATTGTCACTGACATGGCATTTTCTTTTAATAATAGCAGGTTTTACGTCAAAGATGAGTCTATTTTAAAAGGGGGGAGGTTACCTAAAAATTTTTACTTTTTAACAGAAGTCTCTGCACTCTAGATTTATGCATTACCAGCATTAAAAAAAAAAAAATTTCTGTGACACTGAGGAGCCAGTCCAGCTCTATTACCTGGGTCTTCTACCCCATACACCAGTTTCTTATGGTTTACTCCCCCAAGGGACAACACAGCCAGCTCAGCTCCTTCACTGTCTGTGTGAATATCAGAGAACCAGACGGCTGCAACTGGGGCTGGCTGTCACGTATCTCATCCTAAAACTGAATCAAGTTCCAACTATTCCTGAACTACAACTAAATGACTACTTTTCCTTAAGATTGCATTCTCTTTCATCATAATTGTTACCCAGATTTGCTTAATAGGTTATCAAATTATGCCTAGACCTAAATGCTTAAAATATGCCTGTGACTGGTAGAATCAATTCTGATTGGCCAGGCGCAGTGGCTCATGCTTATAATCCTAGTACTCTGGGAGGCCGAGGCAGGTGGATTGCCGGAGTGGAGCTCATGGGCTCGAGACCAGCCTGAGGCAGAACAAGATCCCGTCTCTAAAAATAGCCTGCCCCATGATTGCATTAATGTAGATAGCTATGATTCAATTTAAAAAAAAAAATGCAAAAAATTAAAAATAGCTCCGTGTTGTGGAAGGTGCCTATCGTCCCAGCTCCTCGGGAGGCTGAGGCAAGAGAATCACTTAAGGCTAAGAGTTTGAGATTGGGGTGAGATATGATGCCATAGCACTCTACCAAGGGTGATAAAGTGAGACTCTATCTCAAAAAAAAAAAATAAAATAAAATAAAATAAAATAAAAAATAATTTTTTTTTTTTGAGAGTGCCCTGGTGTCCCAGATCACAGCAATCTCCAGCTCAGGCTCAAGTGATCCTCTTGCCTCAGTTTTTCTATTTTTAGTAGAGAAGGGGTCTCACTTTTGCTCAGGCTAGTCTTGAACTCATGAGCTAAAGCAATCCACCCACTTCGGCCTTCCAGAGTGTTAGGATTATAGGCATGAGCTTAAAAAAAAACCCAGCCTAAAAAAAAAAAAGTATTGGTTTTATTTTGCTGAAAAAGAAAATCATGACACATTTTAAAAAGTATGTCAGATAGTGGAATTTAATAATTAAAGAACAAAAGATTTCAAAAAGGCACATTAAAAAATAATGGGGGGGGGCGGCGCCTGTGGCTCAAAGTAGTAGGGCTCAGGCCCCATATGCAGGAGGTGGCAGGTTCAAACCCAGCCCCAGGCCCGCCCCCCCCACCCCCCAAAAGGGAAAATCATCTAGTAATTAAATAGTCAAAGGCTTTTAGAACAACAAGCATGCAATACCAAGCTAGACTAGAGGTAAAGATCTACAACACAAGGCACACGTTCACTCCCAGCAATTTATGAGACCTGAACAGGAAGATCACTGGAGGCCAGAAGTTTGAGGCTACAATGAGCTAGAACCACAGCAGGGATGGGAGGACGGGGGAAGACCCTGTCTCAAAAAAAAATAAAGATCTCTGACATTTCAACTATGTTTAAAAGCAGGTAGTTTAAACCAAAAGGAAAAAAAGATACCTATTTATACAGGGAAGACACTGACTGTAAATATCTTTAGATGTCCTAACTTGTAATTAGCCAGATGCCTGAATCACACCTACTATTCTCCCATCTCTGGAGGGCCACTTACTAAACAGCAGAGACATGCACAAGATACTATGTTAAGAAGCTACCCTGGGATTCGTTTTTTTTTTTTTAACTACTTTAAAAAATATCTCCTTAAAAGCAGAAAACTGCTATAAAATTTAATAGAACTGTTAAAATCATTTAACAGTTTATAAAATTTATAAAAAGTAGGCTTTACTATCAGAAGTAGAAAGAAAATAGCTCTCTCCTTCCACTACCCAATAGTTCAGAATCTTCTTCAGATTCTTCTCCCCTTCAGCTATAAGCCTGATTATAGCTATAGCTACATTGTTTACATTCACCCAGCGATATCCCTGCACCTCCTAATGGATTCTCTGCCATGTAATTTTATGTAACTTAAGACACCGCATATCATAACTGCTTATTTATATGTCAGCCTGTGTTGTCAAGGCAACACAAGGGACTTGTGCAGATCAAGCCAAGCATGTCCACTACTATGGAAAGTCCCTCCAACAACCCTTTGCATTACAACTTTTTCTGGGGGGTGGGGTGGGAAGGACAGAGTCTCAAGCTGTCACCCTGGGTAGAGTGCCATGGCGTCACAGCTTACAGCAACCTCAAACTCTTGGGTTTACACGATTCTCTTACCTCAGCCTCCCAAGTAGCTGGGACTATAGGCACACGCTGCAATGCCTGGCTGTTTTTTTGGTTGCCATTGTCATTGCTGTTTAGCTGGCTCGGGCAGGGTTCAAACCCTCCAGCCTCAGTGTATGAGGTCAGCGCCCTACCCACTGAGCTATAGGAGCTGCCCTGCATTACAACCTTCATTATATATATATATATAATATATATACACATACACACATACACACACACAAACTCACAAACACTTTTTGCAGTTTTTGGCCAGGGCTGGGTTTGAACTCACCACCTCCAGTATATGGGGCTGGCGCCCTACTCTCCTTGAGCCACAGGTGCTGCCCTATTTTATATATATTTTTTATGAAACAGAGTCTTACTAGGTCACCCTCAGTAGAGTGCCATAGCATCACAGCACGCAGACACTTCAAACTCTTTGGGTTTAAGCAATTCTCTTGCCTCAGCCTCCCAAGTAGCTGGGTCTACCGGTGCCTGCCACAACACCTGGCTATTTTTTGGTTGCAACTGTCATTATTGTTTAACAGGCCCCAGCTGGGCTCAGTCTCGCCAGCTTCAGTGTACTGGGCAGGCACCCTACTCACTGAGTTATGAGTGACGAGCCACAACTTTTAAATAATTAGAAATAATGACTGATATTGCATGAAGACCTGACTTGAACACGTGAGAGTTTGATATTTTTGTTCAGCCAACTAAACAAAAAATAAATCCTGATACTATGTCCCTATTTCTGTATTCAAAATATATTTAAATACCTCAAATTCACCTCTATTTATTTCTACCCAAATTAGACTTTGATCATTGGCTTTAATTCAAATCCTTTAAAGTAAATCTCTGGTAACATGTTTTAAAAAAATGATTCGTCAGACCAACTTACCCTCTGTCTAAAATCTGAATCAGCATTTGGATTTAGCCCTAAAAGAGCCTGTTCATCCATCCTCGCTCTATACTTGGAGTTTTCTGGTTGTAACAGGTGTGCCCTCTGATCCCACAGAAGAATCCACAAACATCTGCACACAAAAGATAAAGTTGAAAGAAAACAAAATTTGATGAACAGATGTTTATCCAGAATACCATAACAAGTGGATAAAATTATGCAAAGAAACTGAAGTATGTCAAAACTTGTTTTGAAACTTATCCTAAGTACAACTAGAGGAGCTTAAGTCTCGAGGAACGGACCCTGCTAAGTATCCAACTAATGTGTTAATTTCCAGAAACCTGAAGAAGTGTACATTAAGTTCTCAAACTTTCATCTTCAGGGTTGTCAATAAAGTACACAAAGTTATTTATTTTCTACTTTAACAGTAGCTGCATCTAATTTGTGCTGTGTTTCATGCATCACCTTCAATACTTAAAAGTGCAATTGTGCAACCACATTAAGTAAAAAAGAAATTGAGGAATCCAGATTATCTCATTGTAACAACTTTAAAATTTTGCCGACTTCTAGTCAGATACCAAGATCACAAGTTTAAAAAAAAATTTAGAACAGCTGATCTCAGACTTGAATATCCGTACTGGAGTGTTTACAAAGTGAAGCAAGAGAAGTCAGATCAAAGAGGAAGGAACAGAACAAAAACCAGCCATTGAGCTTCTGCACAATAGACCACTTTTATCTTTTACAGATCGTATCTCTTGGCAGCCATTTCTAGAAATGTGTTTTTGAAAATTTAATAGTATATACAAAAATCACAAATGATTTAATACTGACTACTCTTACTTAAAAACTTTCTTAAATTTCTGGAAAGTACACTTCTTCACAATGTAGGCTCTAACAATCTCAAAAAAGAACATGATTAGCCCCCAAAATGCAGCCTAGTTTTTGAGAGAATGAGAATTTATTTAAGCAAACATGGAGCAAACTTGATTATGGCATGAAAATAACATTTATTTTTTATTTTTTTAGAGATGAGGTCTCCCTCTGGCTCAGTCAGGTCATGAACCTGTGAGCTCAGGCGATCTACCTGACCAGGCCTCCCAGAGAGCTAGGATTACAGTTGTGAGCCACTGTGTGGGCGTTGAAGTCTTTTAGTTTAGATTTATTGAGAGAAAAAGTCTCACTGTTTAATTTATTTTTATTTTATTTTATTTTGCAGTTTTGGGCCGGGACTAGGTTTGAACCCACCACCTCTGGCATATGGGGCTGGTGCCCTACTCCTTTAAGCCACAGGCACCGCCCTATTTAATTTTTAAAAATTTATTTTATTTATTTGTTTTTTGAGACAGAGTCTCAAGCTGTCACCTTGGGTGGAGTGCTGTGGCGTCATAGCTCACAGCAACCTCCAACTCAGGCTCAAGACCTAAGAGTAGGGAAACCGGGTCTTACTACTCCCATTAAAGGGCATGCTACATTTTTTAAATCATAAGCAAAGAGAACCTAAGGAGGCCAAAGACTAACTGGGCAGGGGTGTGGGGCCAAGCCTTCCAGACCCAGGTCGTGGGACTCCCACCACCAGGTGCCTTCTGGGCCTGCTATACACGACATGCTAAATCGCAGTATGGGCTGAGCGCCTCAGAGAAGAAAGCTGAGTCTCTTCTCCTGTTGTTCTTATCCTACCTGCAGACAAGGCAGTGAACTCCCCACTGCCTCCAAATCTATTCCTCTCCACTTTGCACCCCTCCTCAAGGCAGTCCTGCCCCTCATCCCGGCACACACTGCTCTCTTTTCTTGTTTACTAGGCTAACCCCTGCTCACGCTTTGCAATTCAATTCAGAGGTGATCTTTTGCAGGAGCAGCTGACTCCTATTGTCTAACCCTTCCAAATTGGATTAGATGCTCCCTCTCAGCACTGCTGTTCTGTAAAGGCCAGCTTACCACTTTTCTCCTATTAACCTTAAAGGGAAAGGACTGTTTTTAATATCTTATATTCCTAGAATATAGTAGTTTTTGGGTTTGGAAAGACCTGGGCTTGTATCCCACTACTGTCATTTTGTAACTGAGGCCACGCAGACACATTACAGAACCTGTGATAGAGCCCTTCCTCTGACATGGGAAAAAGACCATCTGTCTCAAAAAGCTGTGAAGACTGCAGTGAGGTAAGGCACACAGTGGGCCTTCAAAAGGTTATTTATACAGTTAAGAGGTAGGTCCAAAGGGGATGGGAGCTACCTGGAGCATTCTTGTATCATACTTGTTTCCCTGAAAATAAGACCTACCCCCCAAATAAGCCCTAACATGATTGCTATGCATTTGTTAAATATAAGCCCTACCTCGATAATAAGATGGACGGGGCATTTCGTGATACCATGCATTTCAGCACAGACAGTAAGATATCCCCTGAAAATAAGCCCTCATGTGTCTTCTTTAGAAAAAATAAATGTAAGACAGTATCTTATTTTCAGGGAAACACAGTACTAGTGGATGACCACTTCAAACAGATGGGAAAACACAAAATGGGTACTGTTTCCCCCTGTCGCTCCTCAGCCAAAAATAACAGGAACATCTGATGACAGTTCCCTGAAAATGCCTACAGAGAGAAAAGACAATTTCAGAGTTCCCATGAATCCCAGACTGAGAAGTCCTATAAAAGCTTTCTGGAGCCTCAGTACCTGTAGCACAGTGGTTATGGCACCAGCCACATACACCAAGGGTGGCGGGTTCGAATCCAGCCTGGGGCCAGCCAAACAACCACAACTGCAACAAAAAATATCTGGGCATTATGGCAGGTGCATGTAGTCCCAGCTACTGGGGAGGCTAAGGCAAGAGAATCACTTAAGCCCAAGAGTTTGAGGTTGCTGTGAGCTGTGTGATACCAGAGCACACTCTACAGAGGGTGACACAGTGAGTCTCAAGAAAAAAAAAAAAAAGCTTTCTGGAATTTGCCACAGCTATAGGAAAAATTACTTAAACTGGGTCAATCACTTTGATCTTATCAAGAGAAAAATTAAGTGCTCCTGAGGAAAAACATGGCCAATAAGCAACCCAAGGAAACATTAAACTAGTTACAGTTGTCAGTACAGAAGTAATCCCCACGGAGAAGGCGCTTGCACGGTCAGTGTGTAATGGAACACGGTAAACTACCTTCATGTGTCCAAACAAAAAGTTACACCCTGCTAAAAAGGGACAGCTTTCCCGACAAAAGGCCGTGCATGAACAAGTACTATTTTAACATCTGTTACAATACGGTACACATGTCAATCGCTCATCATGCAAAGGTTCTGAGAGAAGGTGAGCAACGTACTTAAATATTAAGCCTCGACTTTTGCTGGATAGCCATTAAATCAATAATCAAACAATTTGGAAAAATTCCTCCATACCAGCGAAAAAGTTTCTCAGCCTAGGACCTAATCTTTCCAGCCTTTTAACACTAGGCTGACAAGTCGCTTTAATAAAACGTAACTTCCCTCGCAGTAAAAACTAATTATTAACGCTTTCAAAAAGTACTCGTTTTTCTGGTTACAGGAAAACATCACGCTTCGCTTCTCCTGCAGGACTGGGAGGAAGGTTAGAGAAGCGAGGGAGCGTCGCTGTTGGCCACGTACTCTCCCCACAAATAGCTCTTTTGCCCCTTTCTGTCCAGGTGGAAGGCAAATGCAGCGCGCGCGCTCTACAGTTGGAGCTGCTGGAACGCGCCGCAACCTCTGCAGACACGCCAGGGGCCGCGGGCGAGCAGACCCCTGCGCTGGTCTCCCCCCGGCCTTCCCGGATCCCTCCCCAAAAGGAAGCCTCGTGACCATCCGGGTGATGAAACCCCCGGCAAGCGGCGGCCACGCACTCGGGACGCGCTCCTCGCGGAGGCCGCGGCTCCGAGCCACCCCAGCCCGACCCGGCCCGGCCGACTGGCCAGGGCGCAGCGCCATGCAGCCCCGGCCCGCAGCCTCCTCACGCCCGGGGTCCCCCGGCCAGATCCGCCCGCGCCGACTTCCCCGCAGCCTCGTGCGGGCCGAGCGCCAAGTCACCTTCCCTATCACTCCATGCCGCCTCCCCGCCTGCACTCCCGAGGGCTGGTCGGCGTGGCAGAGCGGTGCCGCGCGCCGGGAGCGGAGGGCCGCCCTGGTCCTCGTCGCCGTAGTCCTCTGCCGCGGCCGCAGCGCCCACGCAGGAGATGGAGGGGCCGGGGCCGCGCGCCTCCCGCCGCTCTGCGTCCCCTGGCACCTTCTCCTGCGTGGCGCCGGGCGGGCAGGCTATGGAGCAGGCGGGCGGAGTCGGCGCCCCAGGAAGGGAAAGAGCACGAGGGCCGGCTAACGCCGCCGCTGAGTCAGCGCGAAGCGCGCTCCCCGCGTCGGTGCCGCGCGGTCGGGCGCCAGCAGCCTCATGGAGAGTGCGGACGGCCGCCCGCCGGCTGGGGCCCGGGCCTACCACTCCCAGCATGCAACGCGCAAGCGGCGCTTCCGGCGGCCGTGCGCACGCGCGCCCCCTGCCGCTCACCGGAAGGCGTGGTCGCGGGGTCTGTGGTGCAGGCTGGGAAAGGGCTGGTCGCAGGGTCTGTCTGCGGTCCCAGTCCTTTGGGTGGTATCGGCTCCGGGTCCGAGCCGCGGCGTTGGACTAGCCATGCGCGTTCCTTAAAAGCGTTGTCAAGGAATGGGTCAGAGTACCGAGTTCCCGAGAGCAGGACCACATGGCTCAAACCACGTGTGTCCGCTGTTTGATTGCTTTCCTGTGGTCCTGCATGTCTCGAGTCCAGGCGCGTGAGATCTAATGAGAGCGGGTGGTTTTAACACGTTCACTTTGAACATACTAATACTTGGTCCATGAAAAAGGAGAGCATCCTTAGCAAGTCCTGCTTATGGGTTCTTTCGATGCTGCTGTTCGTGCGTTTATCCGGTGACAGATGTATTAGCTGACCCCGCGTCCAGTCCGCTCAGGCTCGGGCGGCCCAGGCGCCTCCTCACTGCTTAGTCAGTCTATTGGTACTTGGGTTTATTCATCCGTATAATGGGATAGTAATAGAACCAGCCCTAAAAGGTTATTGTGAGGATTGACACACAATGCTCCATATTTGTTTTGCTTTTATTTTTTACTTATTTATTTTGAGACAGAGTCTCCATTTGTCACCCTCGGTAGAGTGCCGTAGCATCACAGCTCACAGCAACCTCAAACTCTTGGGCTCAAGTGATTATTTTGCCTCAGCCGCCACAAAGCCAGCTATTTTTTGGTTGCAGTTGTCATTGCTGTTTAGCAGACCCAGGGCTGGGTTCAAACCCACGAGCCTCGGGGCATGTGGCTGGCGCTGTAACCACTGCGCTAAGGGCAACGAGCCATTTTTCTGTTTCATTTTTAAAAAATTTTTATTTTTATTTTGGATTAATACGAGGGTACATGGGATTAGGTTACATTGTTTGTATTTGTAAAGTATGTTGCATTGTTGATTATTCAGTATGTACTGAATACAACCTAGGTTGCAGTCCCCGAGACAACAGTGAAGAACAAACAAAAACTTGCCAGTGTATAAGGAATGGGAAGAGCAGGAGAATAAAACTAATGTAACAATTCAAAAGCAACATTTATTTAGTGACCACTGTGGGCAAAACATCAGGCATTTCATACATAAAATATCTTTTTTTTTTTTTTGAGACAGAGCCTCAAGCTGTCCCCCTGAGTGCTGTGGCATCACAGCTCACAGCAACCTCCAACTCCTGGGCTCAAGCGAGTCTCCTGCCTCAGCCTCCCAAGTAGCTGGGACCACAGGTGCCCTCCAAAACGCCTGGCTATTTTTTTTTTTTTCAGTTGCAGCCATCATTGTTGTTTGGCAGGCCCAGGCTGGATTCAAACCCGCCACCTTAGGTGTATGTGGCTGGTGCCTTAGCCACTTGAGCCACAGGCGCCGAGCCTATAAAATATCTTGAATTACCTTTGCATCACTTTTTCCCAGTTTTTGTTTAAACTGTCAGGGCAGGATTTCTGTCCTTTCTACCCCAGTGTATCCCCAGAGTCCAGCACAGTGCCAGCCTGTACAACTCGATAA